CACTGGGTTATTAGTCCACGTGTAATGTATCTGTGATGCAGTCATTGAACAACCATATCCTTGGAAGGTCCACATTGGTCGAGCTTTTTTCCTCCTGGGACCGGATTAGGTTGAAGTACTCCCTCCGTTCCAAATTACTCGTCATGGTTTTAGTTCAACTCGGAGGGAGTATCAGGCATTTGGCAGATTATTCGTGCCACTCTTCTTCTCAAACTTCAATGGGATGTGGAAGATGTTTGTGCAAACTTTTCTCCACTGCTGAACTGCTACCTGTATCATCACCTCACAAATGGGCAACTGACATATATCCATGAATTAATATATAGGAGCTTAAAGCCATCTAACTTTCAGACACTTTTCAGTTTTCACAACGAACAACCAAACATGAGTCAAAATATTATAGTATGCCAGCCAAGATCTTAATATGTCTAGTTTTGGACCAACCAAACATACCCTATATGGCCACCCACGTATAGAGATGCAAAAAGAACCGTAAAACGGTCTTACTTCTTTCTTTATATCACAATGGAGCATTCTCTTTTCTTACTTTCTTTCTTTTTGTCTTCGTCTAGTAGACACTGTTCAGGTAGAAGAACAGGGCGGCCAATGCAACGATCCCGACCGCGATACCAATAGGCAAAGCTTTCCTGCAGGAGAGCAAAATTATTTTCCGAAGTTCGTCATCAATCAGTTTCCACTCTCTCTCTCTTTTCTCTTTTTTTCGTGTGCGGAAATCAGTTTCTACTCTTTGAAGTTAAACATCACAATGCTGAATCGATGTGTATGAGCAAAAAGTAAAGTCGTTTTGGAGTTGAACTACTCACCCCACGGTCTCGTCCTTTTTGAGCTGCTCCTTCCTCGCCTTCCGGGCATCAGTGGCGTTGGCGTTCTTGGCCACCGGTGGTTCGTAGGGCCTGAATCTTCTCTTGGGAGCGGCACAGACTGCACGAACAATGGAGATCAGTTGTTGGAGTATGGAAATGTATGCCATCTTCATATGGCAACTTATAAATAACCAACGGAGGAGATCCTCCGTCGTGTGATTAGTAATCTTGGATCTTTGGAACCATTGGTTTAGGTTGGTACTAACAGGACCCTGATTGTTTTTGTAGGAAAGGACTCAGATTGTTAGTTGGGGATCTCATCTGCAGAAATTGCTATTGGAGCTCAATTCTTTAAAGTGAAAAAGATAGTTAAAAAATCAACTTTTTAAGAGTCTCTTTGATTCGCATGATTGTAAAAGCACAAGATTAAAATGCCATGCATATTCAAATTCAAATTCTACAGAATTTGAGTTTGTTTGATTGTGTCACGGAAACGAAGAATTTTTCTAAGAGGTTTGAGTAGATGCAAGATTTCCTATGAAATTAAGTACAAATGATCCCTTAGGAAAAGATCGTATAGGATTCCATGTTACGAATCAAACGACCAATATAAAAAAAAAATTCTAAGGATTCTTGTCCTCCAAAGAACTAAAAGAATGTTTGCTTGCCTTCCACACTCTACCTCACTTTTGTGCAACAACTGAAGTCACAGTATTATTGATCGTCACATTTGTGCAAATGCAAAAATTGATTATGGCAAGTGTGGGGTAAGAAGGTGTCTGCAATGAAAGATGGTTATTCTCACCAGGGCAGTAGTAGTTATCGGACAGCTTCTCAAACGGAGTCTTGTCCTTGTATATGTACCTACAACATTTCGCAAGACGCAGAGCATATCAGTAGCAGTCAATTTCACCGTAGCAACGCGGCACGCTGGCACGGCCGGCTCACCCGCAGTCCCGGCAGATGTAGGCCTGCTTCGTCTCAACGCGGCCGAACCGCATCGTGATCCGCGCCGCCGCCGCGGACGTCGCCCTGCACGGCGCTGGCAGCCGGACCCGCACAAGCAGCGGCGGCGCGCAGAACGCCGACCGGAGCCGCGCGGGGCTCCCCGCCGGCGCGCGCGTCAGCGACGGGGCCTGCATCTGCAGTGCCATTGCTGCAGCTCTCTCCCGGATTCTTCTTTACGGCCTAGCCCGTGGAGGCAATAGCTGATCGACGCACGATCTGCCAAGAGCTGCTGATCGAGAGCGATGAAATGCACGCGGGAAAGCACTGCGGGAGGAGGGTGTGGGGATGGAGAGGAAGAATCGAGGGGATAAGAGTCGGTGGTTGGACCGTTGGTGCTGGAAGCATCGCACTTTTCCTTTGCTGCCTAGTGGAGTGGAGGAGGTGAGGGCAGTGTGGAGGCTGCGTGGCATTCATGGCTTCCCTTCGCTCGCTATCCCTTTCCACTGGACGCGGGCCACTTCCACTTGGCGCCCTCCCGATCTCTGGACTGGACGGGATTCCCCTGTCCGGCTGCCGGATGGCAAATTAGCATGTTTTTTTCTCAAGAGGTACGACGGATCATATATCTGTATTTTCTTTTAGAAAATTTCTGATCTATTCATCTTTAATCATATGGCAGTACAACGAATACCAGAAATAATAGAAATTATATCCAGATTCGTAGACCACCTAGTAACGACTACAAGCACTGAAGTGAGCCGAAGGCGCGCCGCCGTCATCGCCCCTCCATCACCGGAGTCCGGCACAACTTATTATAGTAGACAGTCGGAAGTCGTCGTGCTAAGGCCCCGTAGGACCAGCGATCTGTCGGATGGCAAATTAGCATTTTCTTTTCAAGGGTATGTCAATGACATACCATATATTTTTAATGAAAGGTGGAATTAATTTGGATTGCAAATAGATGGATAGGTGCTTAAGTGCTCTAATCAAGTGTCGAGGTGGGAAAAGAGAACTAACAATTAATAATAGATCGTTATGAAGGTGGATGTATTACCATATCAGACAAAATGAAACCGCATATTTGATTTCCTACTGACAAGCCCGTGTTAAATATCTGTCACTAGTTAACTTACTGTTAGTTTTAAGTCATACCGTTTGTAGATAGGGCACGGCTCTGAGTTAGACACTTTTTTTCCTGAGTTAAAAGAGCTTTATTGCTTACTTAATCAGACATACAATCGCCATACAACATGTTCATTAGGAAGACATGAGTGTAATTAAGCCATAAACATCTCCTTCTAACACTTGTCGCCTGCTTCGTACTTGGACACTTGTAGATAGGGGAGAACGACGTGTCCCTAAAATTTCTAACAACATTATTTTTAATTAATTTAATAAAACTAGATATAGTTTGAGTATTTTTATTTTAAAACATAAATTATTATATATGCTATATTTTAGTGTATTTACTTCTCTAGAAAACATGGGAAAAGGTCCATTAAGATGGAACATTTTCTAGTGAAGCTGCATCATTTTTTTCTCGTTAGGCTAGAGCAATTTTTTCATTAAACTAGAAGAATTTTCTCATGATGAGGCTGGATATACATTTAATACCTTCATATTTTATGAAACAAATCACATATATTTCTTGATGCTTTTATTTAAGCTGCTACATTTTTCCTTGGGCGGATTATTTTTTCTTAAAACATATAGTATGTACATTTAATTACCATGTTAGGTAATAAAAGTACATGCATTCATTACAATTTTTTCTGACATAAATAAATACAATAAACTAGTATCTACCTAATAATAAAGCGAGTAGTGCTTCTGTTGTATGCCACTTATTTTACGAAAAAAACCTGTGTTTTCATGAAATCAACCCGTGTTGTGACGTAAGTGAGAAAAAGAATCGTTTTTTATATATTTTTTAGAAACCCCCTTCTGTTTTGGTGAAATAAACCCGCAGTCCAGACTTAAGTAAAACACGAAACATTTTTCGTATTTTTCAGAAAACCCGCTACCGTTTCTATTAATAATCCGTAGTTCAACTATAAGTGTAATTTTATTGACCGTAACTCCAACTTTAAATTACTATATATGAAATTTGATTGAAAAAATGTATAGAATCTGAATATGATGTTATTTTACATATTTAACATTTTTAAAATTCTACTTATGGTGTAATTTTAATCAATAGCGATGCGTACAATTAGAATTCTATTTATGGTGTAATTTTAATCAATAGCGCACAATTCGTCTTTTTCCATACCGAGGCCGATCCGTGTTGCAAAAGAACACCTCATCAAAATCACATTGAAGACAAAAGAAATCATCAATAATCACACATGCATGCCTCGACAAACATCGCATGGAGAAAATAAAGT